TTTTTACCTCACGCCATAGACCTTTGTAAATTTTGTAAAAAATTTTTAGATTTGACGGATATCCATTTATGTCCGCATAACTCCGTAAAGAATCAGTCATATTGAAATTTCAATTATAGATTTCGAAAGTAGTGATTTCAACCTTAAAAATCCTTTTTTAATTTTTTGTCTTCGATGATTTTTCATTGAATTATGGTATTCTGAATATTGCCCAATTTTTAGCGTGTTTGAAAGTGTTCCCTAGATTTTGTTGAGTAATGTATATTTACTACATATATATATATATACATATATACATACATACACTTAATATATACATATATATACTACATATATACAATAACTAATATATACAATAACTATATATATACAATTACTAATATATACACTTACAAAATATATACAATTACCTCGTCGAGATAATTGTATACAAACATATCCAGACAGCACAGAATATTTATGATGAATATTTGATGCAATGGTTGCATTCAGCAAACTCAGCAGAAATATTGTAAAAATATGCCATAGAACTCTTCTGTTGCAAATATTACTTTGTTATTAGTGACATATATATAAATAAATGATAATACTTTTTCCACATACCTATATATATGGATATACTTACTTTCAAATTCTTTAATTATTTCTTCATCAACACGCCACTGATTGGGGAAATCTCTTATTGTTTTACACGTCTTGTAGCCGGAAATATTCAGTGTAATACCCATAAAAGAAGCTTTGTTGAAACAAATGCAAATGCAAATGCAAATGCAAATGCAAATACACAAGATGGCCTATTATAACGAAAGGAAGCGATAGGCGATTGAAATAGGCGACCACTATGCACATTACACTATTACAGAGAATAACCACGTATTTTTTCTTCTCTTCAAACAAATTAGTTGTACAAAGTAGCAGACATATACATAAACATTAAATAAATGTAATATAATACAGTATAATAGAGAAAACTCGGTCAAACAGGACAAACAGCTCCTGCTACCTTCAAACAATAGAAGAAAGCATGATGAATCGTACAGCGCAGCGCGCTGTGCGTCGCATTCGCAGCGCCACGACTCGTTTCTGTTATTAAAAATGTCATTAATGTATCCTTCCGTCGGCAAAATTGTCACACTTTATCCGCAATCCTTTTCTTTGGTAATAACAGCAACACTTTTTTTAAAATAAAATTATTAAAACGCATGTATTGCACAAATGTAAATTAGTTATTTCAATTAAACTAATTTGTTGCAATAGCAATGATAATATTAACAAAGGTGAATTTGTTCTATGAGCGTACTGATAAATGGTTACATATATAATTTCTTTGTTAAACCACCAAATTTTCTTAGTTACAAATGTTAATTTCGCGCAGCAAGCTATAGCTTTGCTGAATCAGCGAATCTATTTTTTTCCGCGTGCCGTCGCCGAGTTTATGCTGGGGTGATTATGTCGGTTGTTCTGTACGGGGCCCCCATATGGCTCAAACAATCATGGCGGACCGTCATATTTGTAGGAATGTGTCGCGGCTTCAGCGGCAACTTGCGCTGCGTATAAGGGAATATAGGATCGTTTCGCACGACGCCGCGGCCATTCTTGCGAGGAAGGTCTCCCTTAGATTTCTTGAGGATCGATATCGGCGCATTTATCTGCGCAGACGCAAGATCTTGGAGCGAGACGGATTGCGTCGGAGGTCCTTCTCCGCGAGGTGGAGACGAGGCGATCGATTACTAGAGTCCCTATAATGAGAGTCAAGACATAAGACCGGAAGGACGCCATTGCTGGGCGCCGGCCGGAAACAGCACAAATAACGCGTGGCACAAATAGACGCGTTTGTTCCTGTTTGTACTACTACACCATGAAACAGTTGTTCACACCAATTCACAGATTCACCAAAAGCGCCTAGAAATGGCGGCGACCAATCACGAGGACGTCACCCCTCATATCTTGACTCTCATTATAGGGACTCTATCGATTACGCGATGGAGGGAGCATCTTTTGGAGCTCTCTCCCAGCGCGCCGGGAGCAGCTGTTAGAGGCGTCTTGGTGGACGGATTGGAGAACTGGATGGAAAGGAACCATGGTGGCTTCATCTATCGCATAATCCAGATGATAACAGGGCATGGCTGTTTCGAAGCCTATCGATATGAGATAGAGAGATCAGGATCATCGATTTGCGCTCATTGTAGGGCGGCTGAGGATAACGCGTCCTTCATGCGTCCTTCCACTGTCCTTCATGGGCGGAGGAGAAGGGGGAGCTCTTTATGGGGCTAACAAAAAATTATAATTTTTATGCGTATGTTATTGATATATAAGTATAAAAAGGCGCAAATCGTTGGAATGAATTAGTCAGTTTCGTGCTTGTGATTTCGAATAAGTACTAGTTTCTAATGATACTAATAGGTTAATAAGTACGGTAAATAGTTACTTTTTATAACTGCATTATATATTGATCGCACAGTAGCTAATTGCAGTGTTCAATGTTAATATGAAAAATGTATTGCAAAACATTGTGTCTTATTAATCTAGGCGGAAAATAGTATTCAACTATTAGGATTTGATGAAACAGTACCTATATTCATAATTTATTAACATTTTTGAAATATTTGTAGGAAGACGTCATTTATACATTGTATAAAATTGTTTTTCCTTTGTTCAATAAATTCCTTTAAAGAATAACCAATAAGAAGGTATCAAATTTATTATGAAATAGACAATAAAAACTTTTTTCTCTCTTTCTTTTAATAATTATATAGGAAATGGACATGTAAATATGTAATTTTTAATCTATAAGAAGTCTTTGTTAACTTGAATTGTTACACGATTGTAATATTTATAATTTTTAGAAAATAATGCAGTTTAATCCACGAAATGTAATAATACTCCTGTCCGCAGTATTTACTGCCGTGGACTTCCCAGAAAGTTCTATAACATCAGAAGAAGTTACGATGAAGAAAAAAATGGAAAAGATATTAAATGAAATGTACGAAGATTACTATGAAATCGAAGAAGAAGAATCGCTGAGTTTTTTAAACTCATATGATGTACCAGAAGCACAAGAAATAGAACTCGTGGATGAAGAAGAAAATTACGCACGCAATGTAAAAGAAATGGTTCGTGACATCGACGATATTTCAGCAGTATATAAAAGAGAAGAAGTTGAATATTGGAGAAATGGTAAGTCAAAGCCAAGAACAATTGAATCTGTAAAATCAAGATTTCGGAAAGTAACGTCAGCAAGACAATTGCGACAGGTAAAGCAAATAAATGTAGGTGGTAATAGACTTGAAAAGTTGGAACGAATTTCAGTAATCACATTAGATAAATTTATTGAAGCGATGCGTAAAGGGACATTGATCCATGATATTGATATTACACGATGGGCTTTGCAAGTGCAACAATAAGTAAACTTATTAGGTTTTAAAGCATCACATGAATGGATTTAAGATCGCGCGTCAAATAGTATCTAGAAAAGTTACTAAATTTATAACTAAAAAAGCTTTAATGTCAAAGGAAGCTTCACAAGCAGACAGTGATAGGTTTATTGAAAATGTCAAATATTATATTGATCGCTATGGAATTGAAAATGTGTATAATTCGGACCAAAGTGGTTTTCAATTAGAATTACATGCTGGTCGTACATTGGCACAGAAAGGTGTAAAAAAGTAGAGTCTGTAGAATAGTCAATATCTGCGATTACTCACAGTTATACAATACAACCTGTTATTTCAGCCAATGGTAAATTATTATCTCCACTTCTTATAGTGTTAAAAGAATCTAGTGAGACATTAGGTCCTAGGGTACAAGAAACGATGTTTACTGCAAATAATATTTTTATTTTGTCGTCAAAATCTGATAAACTAACATCTAATCATTTTGAAACTTGGGTAAGTTTTATGTATTTACTTATTATATTTTAAGGAATGTATTGATTTAAAGAATAGTCCGGTGTACTTAGATAGTTTCGTTTATTTAACCGATCAAAAGATAAGGAGGAGGGAGGAACTAACACCCGAGACGGACAGCGCCTCAATGATAACGCTAAGGTTCGCGTCGGTAATAGCTAATGACCGCTGATGGTAATTCACATACATAATACTCTTCCCCTCTCCGTGATTGAGAAATACAATAATATAGAAATGGTTTACAATCTTCAAAATATTGTTAGCTTGGTGCATAGCGTTGAGGAGGACGATGGGGTCTTGTAGATCGTCGTGGAATTAGAGGTGATCGCATTTGGCGTGGCGGCGACCTTGGTGGAGACCTGGGCGGAGACGGTGTCATCGGTGGAGTCCAATATTGCTCCATTGGAGTAGATGGTCTCTGTGGCGTAGGCGGCCTTGGCGATATTGATGATCCCTGCAACTTAGCCTGTGGAATAATAGAAACTTGTTTATCGTAAAAGTGAACTCGACGGGGCTCATCCTGCCTCAGTGGTTTAGCGTTATCGGACTGATCCTTATCCTCTTCTTCAGTATAAGCTCGGATGTGATCTACGTGTCTCCTATAGTGGTTGCCTTTATAGTCTATCTCGTAATGCAAATCACCTAGACGTGCGATGATTTTGCCTTTAACCCATTTGTCCATATGCGGGTTACTTGATAAGAACATTACTGTTTGTTTAGGTTGAAATTCTCGAAATGAGGAATTTAATATGACTTGTTGTTTTTCCGAGATTTTCGTATGTATATCGTCTGGTCGCACTAAATCAATTCTGGTACGTATGTTACGACCAAGGAATAACTGCGCAGGTGACTGACCCGTTGTTGAATGCGGAGCCTTCCTGTATTGCCGGAGAAATTGGTTAAGGTTGGATTGCAACGATCCTGGTGTAGTGGACATTGCGCGAAGCGTATCCTTTACCGTTTGTACATTACGCTCGGCTTGGCCATTGCGGGATGATACGGCGCTGTGCATTTGTGATATTTGACTCCACTTGATTGTAGAAACGACTCGAATTCCACAGACTTAAACTGGGTTCCGTTATCTGAGACGATTGTTATGGGAACTCCATATGATGCAAAAATATTATCTAAAATCGCAATCGTTGCCGTTGCTGTGGTCAAATGGGTCGCTCTCACTTCCAGCCATTTGCTGTAAGCGTCCACGACAATAAGCAGCATGGTGCCTGCGACTGGTCCTGCATAGCCCACGTGTATTCGCTCCCATGGTCCTTTTGGATATTCCCAGTGATGACCTTTACTTTTGGGTGGTAAATGTGCATGTCTGGCGCATTCAGCGCACGATTTGGCGACTTGTTCAATCGCTGCGTCGATGCCGGGCCAGTAAACGAAAGAGCGAGCGATACCATTCATTTTAACTATTCCTATATGAGATGCATGCAGGTCACTTAAGATCGTATCTCGTAGAGAAATTGGAATGACAACTCGGTGTTCAAATAATAAGCAGTTGGCTACTAGAGTATATTTGTTCTCTGGAGCTTTGTAGCCAGCGCGAGCCAAGTCCTTTCCTGACTCCAACAATTGGACGATTTTGCCTAGCTCTGGGTCCTTTCGTGTTTCTCGTCTAATTACCAGTCCTCTGTGCGGACTGGTAATTGTTTAATCTGGCACAACGCGAATTCATTAAATTCATCCTGGATTGTTACGTCATGTTTAGTTGTTATTTCATGAACGGTCTCTGTTGTAGTTGGTAATGGCATACGGGAGCAGTAGTCGGCATTTGCGTTAGCCTTCGTTGGCTTAAATTCTACGTTAAAATTAAAATGCGAAAGATAGTCAGCGTAATTCGCCATGCGGCTAATGCATAATGCTGGTAATGATTTCGTTGGATGCAAAATTTGCGTGAGAGGCTTATTATCAACGATTAATATGAATTGCCGTGCATATAGGTAATAGAAAAATTTTTGTACTGCCCATACTACTGCTAGTGCCTCTTTATCAATTTGAGGATACCGTTGTTCTGTAAGAGTTAATGTGCGACTGGCAAAAGCTATTGGGCGTTCTTGCCCGTTTTTAAGTCGATGCGATAGGACAGCACCTAATCCTACCTTACTTGCGTCTGTCGCTAATACCAATGGAAGGGCTGGATCGTATGGCATCAAAATTTGAGGAGAAATTAGTGTATTCTTGATGTCATCATAAGCTTCTTCAGCATCTGCTGACCATTTAAAAGATTCAGTAATAAGCATGTTCCTCAGTGGTCGGCTTCTCGTCGCTAAATCTGGAATAAAAGAATTGTAGTAAGTTGCCTTTCCTAAGAATAATTGGAGTTCTTCTTTGGTAGCTGGTTTTGGTGCGTCTCGAATTGCTTCGATGTGTTTATCTGATTTATGTATTCCGCGGGAGTCAATCTTATGATCCAGAAATTCAACTACCGGAGAAGCAAAATTGCATTTATTACGATTAAAGCGAAGGCCATGTGATTGTAGTCGTTCCAGTGTTCTATCTAGAATTAACATCAAGTTATCAAATCCTTCAGCGAACAATAATATATCATCGTAGAAATTAAGCACATTAGGAAGATCCTGTAGGACTGTTTCAATACGACGCTGCCAAATCGCTGGTATATTAGCCGCGCCGTAAACCGAGCGTTTGGGACGAATTACCCATGTGTCGGTGTATTTAATGTCAACGCGTGAGCGAACTTCTCATCCACCGGTAAGTGCGTATAGGCATCTGTAATGTGGAGATGAAATATTAGCGTTCTTCATTTTATTGAATAGGTGCTCAGGTTTCGGAATAGGATGTTCGTCTATAATGATGTGTTGGTTAAGGGTTGGTTTGTAGTTGCCTGTGACACGGATTTTTCCGTTCTTCTTGACCACAATGTGCGTTGAAGAAGCCCATTCTGAAAATTCGACTTTCTCGTAATATCCGGATACGAGTTTGGTTTCAATCTCCTCGGCATATTTATCACGAAAGGCTAAAGGTACTTCACGTGCACGGGAATAAACTGGCGTAGCCCCAGGTTTAAAGTGAACGGTAATTGGAGGTCCTATTAATTTACCTGGTTTGTCGCTGAAAATATCCTCGTAACGGGTCAATAGTTGATCCAGTTGTTTTTTTTTTTTTTGCAGACAATTGAGATGGTGCAGCGGTTAACGAATGAATTTTATTTGAAGCAGAGAATAATTCAGTGAAATTAATTTCTTTAGCAAGTTCTCCTATCCATTCTCTTCCCAAGAGAGTGTCAAAAGGCTCTTTAACAACGTATAAATTGAACTTGCACGTTGTTGTACCCAATGTAACATTCACTGGTAAATAACCGATACAATCAATGTGATGACCCGTATAGCTAGCAAATTTCCTATCCGAATTGAGTAACGTGCATTCGGGTTTAATACCACGTAATGTTTTCTCGTTGACTATACTACATGGTGCTCCTGTATCAAGTTCCATAAACAATTCGCGACCGTCGATTTTAACTGTAATCATTTGCTTACTTATGGATTTTGTTACTTGAACTTCTTCGACTTTGCTGAATGTTTGTAAAGTATCGACGTGTTCTGCCGGGAGGACCACTTGATCTGTATTTTGAAGAGCTTGAACTGCTTTCCCTGCTCTGCATACCTTGGCAATGTGGCCATGTTTGCTGCATTTATGGCAAAGAGCTTTCCGAAATGGGCATTTGTCACGCCTGTGTAATTCTCCACATCCTTGGCATGGATGGAGGTTGGCACCATTGGATTTGTTTCCTTGCGTATTACTAGACTGATTCTGTTGCTGGCTTCTGTTACGTGATAGTGATCTGTAATGCGTGTATCGTTTATTATGCTTAGTTTTTAATGAAGTATGCTTAACTTTATGCGTTTTTTCCGTTAGCTCAGCTTCTTCGGCCGTCTTGACTACATTTGTCGTGTAACGCGTTTCTTCGAGTGTATTTGCGATTTCGTATGCTTCCGCGAAGGTTGCTGGCTTTTTTGCAATGATTTCGTCGCACATTTCGCGCGACTCGAGTCCATGTAGTAATTGCTCTATCAACATTCTGTCTAAGAATTCGCCGTATTCACAATGAGCAGCGCCTTGTTTGAGGCGTAAGACGAAATTAGCGACGCTTTCCTTTTTTTGTTGGACAATCAGACGAAATTTAATACTTTCGGCATACTTGTTTCGAGTACGGTCGAAATGGTTAATAAGTACCGAACGCAATTCATTATATAATAGTTCTTCTGGCTGACGCGGAGAAATTAGAAATTTAAGTGCGTTATTTAATTCAGTACCCATATGAACGCGAGCATAGTTGGCATGTAATTCTTCCGGAATTTTACTTAGCTGTAATGCCCAATCGAATCGTCGAAAGTAATCTTCAACTGCTGTTTCGTCGGCTATGCGGTATTCCGATATCGAAAATGCCGGTGGCTTCGGTAGTACTGATGTGGAAGAATTGGACTGATTTGTTGATGTATTAGTAGCTACGTTGGCTGCCGACGCTTGAAGTGCGTTTGACAGCATACTTGTAAAAGCTTGGATGAGTTCGGGCGGGACTTCCATTTTCTAACCTTAAACGCGTCTTGCGTTCTTACGAGCTGATTATTTCTGAGTGAGAGCGTATTGATTACCGCTTCTTGCAATTAGTGGATTCGTGTCTTTATTACGTGTACTTCTGACACCACTTTTATGTATTTACTTATTATATTTTAAGGAATGTATTGATTTAAAGAATAGTCCGGTGTACTTAGATAGTTTCGTTTATTTAACCGATCAAAAGATAAGGAGGAGGGAGGAACTAACACCCGAGACGGATAGCGCCTCGATGATAACGCTAAGGTTCGCGTCGGTAATAGCTAATGACCGCTGATGGAATTCACATACATAATAGTAAGGGAAGTATATTTTCCAAATGTTGGACCAAATTCAGTTTTATTGTTAGATTCATGGACTGGTCATTGTCCGGATATAATTCAAAGAAATAAACCAGATTCTGCACAAGATATTGTTCTATTAACTATACCGGCTGGAACAACAGGAAATATAATATAACCGTTGGATGTTTTTGGATTCCCTTTATGGAAGAATTTCATCAAGCATTTTTCAGATGTAGTCATGCTTTTAGAACTTGATGTAAAGCTTCATTCTAGAAACGCTATTTTAAAATTGCAGTCATTAACGCACAATCAATTTTCGTCGCCAAGATTTACTAATTTGTTTAAATACGCTTGGTACAAAAGTGGATATTTGTAACATAGACCAGTAGAATTTGACACACTAGTCGATTTTTGTTTTAAAAAACATTCGAAACCAATATGCGATATTGTATTTGTAGTGAAAGCTATAATTACTTGCGCATGGTGCAAAAAGTTTCTCTGTATTACGCATTTTTTTCATGATCATTGTCACGTCCGAAGTCGCGTGTTTATCGGGCTTGTTGTCTTTCGAGACGCGGCACAAATTGTGTGTAGCTCGAGCGCGGAGCGGGGCGCGCGGGGCGAAGCCTCAGCTTCTGCAGAGTGGTGTTTCGATAATTGTTTACGCGTAATAGGGGGGCAGGCTGCTGTCACCAGTGCCTTTCGTGAAGGCACGAAATCTTCGTAATTTATCGGAGATTCCCGAGAAGGCTTTTATATTATATCGTTTCCTTCGAGGTCCTTCGAAGAGAAAATAAATCAGGGAATTAGAGTTTTCATATTTTATAAGCGCCCCTGCGTACCATGAGCACTAGTAATCATAGAGATTTGCAATCTCTCGAGAGGGCAGCTGTATGTATGTTCATCATGTTACTCGCTCTATCTACCTTCTTCGTTGGAAGAATCTGGAAGGAGAATAAGTGATACACGCGAATTTACTTTTCTACTATTTTTATATTATAATTACACGAATTTATTGTGACTATCGTGGGCTTCAGGCTGGTTATGAGCCTGGGGCGGGTCGGTATCCGCGCGGGAGCTACATGCGAGGGAGAGCGATTCGGTGCGGGTTCCTGGACCTGCTTAGAGTTGGGCGCGGGACGGGAGTTCGGCGGTCGCGTCTCGTTTCCCTCCTTCGTCGGAGGGGGTGGCGGTGGCGCGGTCGGTGTCGGCCCCTCACGCTCTACTCCGCCAAAGACCGCCGGAGGGCCCGGAGGTGCACCCTCCAACCGCCGCATTTCCCTCTCGGTCGCTTTCTCTTGTTCATCTACCGTTTTAGATGAAAAAGGGAGGAACGAGATATTTAGTATTCGATATAACGTAATAAGACAAACAAAAAAGGGGGGAAGGTTGTGGAGGCCTCGACGCCGATGAAGGCGCTCGTTTGAGCTCCACGTGGAAGTGTGGCTCGTCAGCGCGCCTGCATGAGCCGCGCTTAGAGTCACGGGTAAGGATGGCTTTAACGACGCCTGGGGAGGCGCACGGTTATGGCCGGATTTTTGAGGTTAC